GTTGCAAGTTCATGTGATCCTGGAGGTCTGAGGTTGTCCAGGGGAGCTGGCATTGAGAAGGACTGACTTCTGAATTTTAAAATCATCACCTTATTGAGCACCGCTTCCACAGGCTGATGTTACATTTACTTTGCTTCTTTTCCCTTCTTACCTGAGAATGAACCACAGCTCTGGTTTTATGGCATGAAAACAAGTCCCTTGCATTAGTCTTGGTTTAAGGATGATCCTTGCCCTCTGCCAGGGGTGGAAGGACTCCTCAGCAGAACCTTCTGCTGGCCTGTGAGCTCCCTGAGGGCAGAGCCTCTCCATCTCTGGGCTTGTACACATCCTACAGCAGAGCTCAGGTCCTTGCTGAATGAAAGCGTCTGCTAACTCTCTGTGACTTATGGAGGGTTACATCCAGAGTGTCACATCCTCCACATTAGACGTCCTGGAGCACAGAGTTACAATTCTATGGCAAGTTGCTAATCATATATATCCCAACAGAAGAATATTTAAATCTCAACCTTTCATGCAAAAGGGCCACATGTCCAGCATGTAACCCAAACGTCATGAGATCTTTGGTGTAGAAATTAATCAGCCACCCAACTTGGAGACAAGATGAGTTATACCCAAAGAACTAGCTCTGCATATTTAAAAAAACAGTAACAAATCTAAAGAGTGAATCTTTTATAGACTAACAGGTTTAGTTACCAGAGCTAAATTTTAATCTAAGCTCTGATCATCTTAAAATGAAGTCTTAGAAGGGCTAAGGACTAGAAAGTATAAAATAGTTTTTACTTGCTACAATTTATTCCCTTCTCTAATATTTAAAAACAAAACAAATAACTTGAGTTTTAAGTTTTTTATAATCTTGTAGCTGTCCGAATCTTCCCTACCTAACAGAAAGCAAGCTGCCTCAATGCCCAGATGACACCTCTCATCGGCTAGAGCAGTTCCCACGTTCTTTCCACTGCCTCCTGCAGCCATCACAGTGGTTTTCATCCACGCTTTCAATGGTTTGCTGCCTAAATCCCTTGAGCTCTGGTAGGCGGGCCTACAGCCCCATCAGCACCACGTTTTGCTCTGACCCCATCTATGTCCCATACTGTTCAGGGGTAGAGGAGGAGGAGGAGGCAGAAACTCACCAGAGATCAGCTTCCACTGCTGCGGCCCAGGTTCTGACAACTCTGTTGCCTCCCTCGTCCGCACTCCCATTCTCAACAGTTGCTGACCCTATGTCCCACCTGTGTGCAGAACCTCAGACTCTGTTTCTTACCTAACCTGCTCCCTTTCCTCCTCTCATTTCCATCACTACCTTCAGATTCATTTGCCTGCACATCCATTTTCAGAAGAGCCTGCTCGTGGGATCTAAAGCTGTAGCCACCACTGACTCTTTAAATTTATCTAGACAGACCCAAATTGTCCTTCTTGTCCTGATTTATCCCCTCAGCTGTAGTTATAACACATAACTTTCCATTCCTGTAATGAAGGCAGCATGACTGAGCTCTTGATCTTTCACTGACTGGAGGACACAACTGCACCTCCTCAGACTCAGTGGTCTCCTCATAGATAAAATGTGAGGGTTGAAAGAGGAGACCTTTACAGAAGAAGAAAACTGACCTTTACTGAACACTTACTAGGGGCCAGGCAGACACTGCATCTCTCTCACAGTCCTCTTAACAACAGCGACGGAGGGAAGGCACTGTCCCCTCTGTCTTCCAGATAAAAGATCTGAAAGTCAGGAAAGTCAGGTGCATTTGCTCAGGGCCACCCGGTCTAAGCACAGCAGCCAAGCCCAGCCTCTGCCACACCTCTCTGCCTCTTTGGTCCCTTCCAGCTCCGACATGCTCTTCTGTGTCCCTTAACTGCAACCACTGAGGTCTGTGCCCTGACCACCCCCAAAGGGTTTCCAGTTGTCCCAGTGAAGATCATCTCACTGGGGGGCATGGAGACGACAATCCCAGAGAACAGGCTGGGACTAGCTAAAACTGGAAAACTTGCATTACCACTTGTGAAAGTGATTGGGGAAAAAAAAAGACACACACACACACACACACACACACACAAACTTGCTTCTGTGTCCTGCTCAAAGTTGTGGAGCAGCAGTAGCAAAAACCCTTTGCAAGATGAAGTCCTTCCCTGACCAGTGGGGAACGGCCAGCCTTCACTCGCTGCTGCAGGCTGGTGAGCTGTAGGTGCAGACAGACACAGCTCTCTAAATAGGATGTTGATCAAACCATGCTCACAGATTTTAAAAAGACTTCGGATTCTGTTGCTAAGTCCAGTTTTCTGTCCCATTCTATAGTGTATGTCTACATCGCCTTTCCTGCACAGGTGCAGAGCATGAGAGCGAACAGCATCCTCTTTACAACCCTGATTTTAAAAGGAAATTTTACAAACTGTAACTTACAAAAAACGTCTGTCCTGCTGCTTTAAAAAAGTGTAGCTGGGAAACAGCCAGTGTGGGCAGTGAGGAGATGAAGCCAAACCAAAATGAGCAGATTCTTCTCATTTAATATCCACATAAAATTTACAGGAAGGGGAGGGCAAAGAAACCACATATGTGAGATGGGAGATGGGGGCGAGAGGAGGGACTGGCACATGGTGCCACTTGTTTTCAAAGGAAGAACGAAGCAGCAATATCCTATCCGATGCCCAGCCCTGCAGCAGTGCCAGGTACACAGGCTCCTCACGAACACCTAATGAAACAGCTGAGTTCCTCTTTCCGACACAGACATCGTACAATGATGTGAGCTCCATAAAAGCATCTCTAATTACTAAGCATCAGAGCTCCAAGGCTAACCTCAAATTCAATATTTTAAGCTCTCTTTTTAGAAACAGAAAGCAAATTTTGTATTTCTAAGATCTACAAATTCTGAAAATTCGAGCTTAATCCATTTCTATAAGCAAAGAGAAAAATCAGAAAGCCTATATGCCAGTAGTGAAATTACAGATTTTCATTTTCTTTCTGCTTGTCATTTTCAACTGTTTCACAGAGAACATGTATGAGTATTTTTTTTTAAAATCCTCACCTGAGGATATTTTTCTACTTATTTTCAGACAGAGTGGAAGGGGGAGAGAGAGAAAGAACAAAAGGAAGAGAGAGAGAGAGAGAGAGACACACACATCGACCGGCTGCCTTCCACATGACCTCGACCAGGGCCAGGGACTGAACCACAACTGAGGCACATGCCCTTGACTAGAATCGAACCCATGACTCTTTGATCTACAGGCTGACACTCCAACCGCTGAGCCAAGCCAGCCAGGGCACATGTATGAGTATTTTAATAAGGCTCAATGACTTCATGCTAATCTGGAGCTTAAAAACCACATTGTAAGTGTTGTAAGTGCCCTGGCTGGTTTGGCTCAGTGGTTAGAGCGTCGGCCCATGGACGCTCAGAGTCTCCTGGGTTTGGTTCTCGCTAAGGGCACGCACCTCGGTTGCAGTTTGTCCCCGGCCCTGGTTGGGGGTCATGTAGGTGGCAACCAATCCATGTGTGTCTCTCACATCGATGTTTCTCTCTCTTCCTCTCTCCCTCCCTCCTGCTCTATCTGAAGATAAATGCAAAAATGTCCTCGGGTGAAGATAAAAAAGAAAAAAAAACACATTGTAAGTGCCATAATTTCTCATACAAGAAATAAGAATTAGGTATTTTTTACAGTTACCACTAAATTATAAATATCTTACATCTGCACCTGCCGATTCCTCATTCCATAGTGAAGGCAATGCTACTAAGAGACACCAGGTCCTCTGCTGGGAGAGAAGACAGCCCCAAACCTCACACATACCTATAGAAGATATTAAAGCCCACTCACTATTGGTATATGATTAGCTGAAGTGAAATTGAGTTTACCTTCTAGATTGAAATAAAGGATCTTGACGCCATCTTTCCTCAGAAGTAGTTCAGTTCAGTTCTTCTATTTTTACATTTTGGCTTGAATAAAACTGACATATCTTTTATATATTTTAGGAGTTTCACATTAATGAATCCAAGAAATTGTCTGAAAGAACTAGAATCCTCTAAGTAGTGAGAAGCTGTGAGTCAGGCCTGGGCTTTATTGAGAAGGGCACACTCTCCCCCACATGCCTGCCAGCCCCGGGCTGGGGAGGCCTTTCACTTACATCTAGAAGCAGCAAACGAGGCAATTCTGCATCCTACACATTGTTTTCCATATAAGGTGAAGGTAACATACTGCACGTTCATTGAGACTTGGGGAGGAAAGCAAGAAAGGACGACGCAGAGAGTAGGTCAAGGGTCGACGCCCACTGAGAACGTGGCTGCTTCACCTTCGCTTCACCTGCCAACGGTGCAGGACCTTTACTAATGGTGAGAAGAGACCCAGAGGGGGAGGGAAGAGGAGGAGCCCTAGGACAGAGGTGGTCTGGGAGGGTGTTTAGATTTCCTCGGCCGTCCCACCCATGGGGCCCTAATTACAGAACACACACTCTGGTGTAGTTTTCACAGCGATGACAGCATGACCTTTCGTGTGCCCAAGTTACATCCAAGCAGGGCTCTCCACAGCTCTACCGCAGGTGTCTCTTGACTGCCTACCCTAAATTCTGCGGCCATGTTATTCTGGCAAGTTCCTAGTCTAGCCTCGTCCCATCGGAAATCCCAGAGTCCCTTTCCACCGCTGAGGAACGTGTTCTAGGCATCAGACACAGCACGAGCGAATCCTCCTTTCTGTGACATTTGTCTGACAACGCTCTTCTCCACTGGAGAAGCTCTGTGAGGGCAGGGGCTCTGTGCCCGTCCCTCCTGTCACGGAATCCTCGGGCCTACTGACCGCAGTGCCCAGCGGGACTTCTGGAAGGAGCCTCTGTGTGACTATGGGCAGACACCCAGCCAACACCACTTCATCTGTCCCTCTGCCCTGCATTTTGGCCTCCTCCTCCACTTGTAACCTTGGGCAACCTTCTCGCTGAGCATATTTTCCCTTACAAAGTGCCCTCGCAAGGGCTTAGCTTATGTGGGGAAACGCAGAGAACCCCACAGGCAGGCCAGCCCCCCACTTACCGGCACCTCCACCGACTGCATGGAGAGGTCACATGGCGGCTTCAGGGCCTTGGGCCTCGTGGCGTACCAGAACGTGGTGAGTGCCGCGAACGCCCCAAAGCCCATGAGCGTGTTGGTTGGCAGAGTGCGCACATACTGTCGGAAGTCAGCCAGCTCTGGCATCCGAAAATGCCGGAACAACTCGTGGGCTTGCATTGTCCTGCGCTGGAGGTGCCCTAAGCTGACTTCTGTGGGAGAGAAAACATCATGTTCATTCAAGGAGGCAGGACTCTTCTCCACAATTCCCAAAAGCCAACCATCTAACTCGATGGCCAGCTGACTAATCAAGGCGCTAAGCCCACAGTCTAATGGTCCAGGTCCTTTCCCGGCTGTCGAATTTCATTTTTGAAAAATCACTTTAGAAATGCATTTTACTTCTATCATCTTATATAATGTTTTTATTAACCACATTTAGAAATGTTTACTCACAAAGAATTCTTGCCATAAAATGCTCAAATAAGTGGCATAAGTTACCATTTTCTTGCCTGATACTATATCTCTGTTCTCCTCTACCTAATAAAAACAGATTCAGCTCTCATCATCACAGCTAATGGGGAGACACAAACAAGCCCAAACCACCGAAGGGCCATCAGTTTTCATTTCTTCCCACAAAGCTCAGAACAAGCTGGAAAAACAGACCAATCCAAGGTCAATGTGCCTCTCCCCTCCCCCATACTCTGCACCAGGAAAGCAACAATACAAATGCATGTGAAACTATAGTTAGCTATTCTGACAAGATAACATCCTTTATATTCCTCAATATAGTATAGCTAAAAAATAATAATAGATTGATGTGCATAAACTTTAAACCGAACACCACGTATCTGGAGAGATTTTATAGCACAGTATTTGAGAAAAGTATAGAATAGTATTTACGATCCCAGATTCTAGAACCAAATCCTGCCTCCCCAGCTTATGAGCTGTATGATTTGGGACAAATGATTTCACCTCTCTGTGCCTCCGTTTCCTCATGTATAAATGGAGATAAAAATAGTACCTATCTCAAAGGGCTTTTATAATTACTAAATAATTCACATAGAATTTAGAATGGTACAAGGCACCAGAAAGTGCTCAATAAATGGGAGGCATTATTATTATCTCCTTTACCAATACTCTGTGGTTAGTCCTGCATGCAGAACAGTAGGTACCAAGCTAATAAAAAACAGTGTTTGTGATCATGGTATCTCCCTTTCCACTGTCTCTGAAAATCGATGGAGAAATATCATCGGGTGAGGATTAACAAGAACAGAAAACAAAAATACACACACACACCCAGAGTGTTTGACTACTAAGAGTTTATGAACAAAATTTAGAAGCCAAAAACACATAGAAGAAAATTAGATGAACAACTCAATGTATATTAAGCCTCAAATTGCATATTATAGACAATTTACATATATATCAGTATAAAAAATGTGAAGTACAGATAATATATAAGAATAATTCTCATTAGAAAATTCTTCATGAATAACTGCACTACGGTGTGGTAGTAAAGGGAAGGGAATAACAGTAAATGATCTGAAAGAGTTTTTTCAAAGACTTCCTGGCAATCGACTAAGTATTATTAATTTACCTCTAAGTTCAGATATCTGTGAGCTACTTATATGCTCTTTTAAATAGACTGAAAATAACCCTGAAATTCTCTTTAAATTTCAGTCTTTACTATTGTACCCTTTTCTTTACAGAGTATCAGAATATCAAGTGCTTTCACTGGCCATCAATACTATATAGGGGCCAATATAATGTATTTGTTCATCTCATGCAATCTTGTGCTACCTGAGCTCTGTGTAGGTGTATGTACGTACACGCACATGTACACACACACACACACACACACACACACACAAACAGGAAATTTTGAGGTCTGACATGACAACAGAGAAGGAACAGATAAATACATTTCTTCAGGTCATAATTCTGGAGAGAAAGCACCAGCACTTACAAAACCACTCACCATCTGTGCCACCAACAGCTGACTGCTCGGTGACACACCACTGCCGAAACAGAAAAGGCAGTGGGGGTGGGGGTGGGGCAGGGATTGCAATAGCTTAGCCTGGTGCTTACCCAGGCCTGCCAAGGTCTCTCAGGGCACTGGTCACATGCCAAGTCCTGTGCTGCTGCCCACTGGGCTAAAGGTAACTAGCAGACAAAATCCATACTTGACTTCCCAGGAGAAGAGAGGGTGAAGAATGGGCCAATGAGAGGCTGGGAGCAGAGTCACCCCACTGCTCCACCCATGGGCAGGGACAGGCATCAGTTAGTGTCACTGCCAGTGCCAGTTCTGAAAACAGACATTGTTTTCTTTCTGCTCAGCTTCCCAATAAGAAGACACAATGGGCATATTTTTAAAAGCCACTGAAATGATCAGATGTTGGGTGGTATGTTGAACCAACATAAGACCGACCAAGAAAGAAACAGATTGTCAATAGTTCACTCACAGCTGATTTTATTCTAGATGAATTCATAGGAATTAAACTACTCCAGTCATTTAACATATCTGAGCATCCAGTGTGCACCAGACATGTGCTAGGAGCTGGGAAGACAGTGCTAAGGACAGGGCCAGGCTCTCAGTGGGCTCACCAGCTGGGGGCAGATACAATACAAAATTAAACAAGTGATATCCACAAGGTGTGATGAGTGTTACCACCATGAAGATCAGTGATCAGGCAAGGCTTCGCTGAGGGAGAGATGCTTACACAAGCCTGTGAGGCTGAGCAGACCCACTGAGTCCAGTCCTCTTGGCACTGAGCTTCAGACTTCACACAGTATTGCAATTCTATATATGCAAAGCAACCTTATGCATTTAATGTGCAAACCTGCCTTCCCCTCTAATCGATCCACCTCCTGGTCATCTTCGTTACCCCCACAGCACTCTGAGTGGTACTTACCCACACCCCTTACCCAACACCTTTGCCTGTCCCTGAAGTAATTTCAATAAAACCCACATTGTGTAAATTTACAGGGTTGCTCAACAGAATCACATCCCTGAGTGAGAATATAAAATAATTCCCTCACAAACAAATACAGTCATAAACGGGTAACTTTTTCTATTTTAAGCATTAGCAACCGCCAAGCTGTAGACAGCATTATATTAAGAACGAAAGGAGTTTCTTTATAGAAATGTCTAGGAAAGACAACTTTGTAAAAACTTCAAAAAATTACAGTAGCACTCAGGCAAAAGCATTTTATTGGATACTAACCTGCAATGCTGAGGGTTTAAAGCCAGCTAAATTCTTATCTCTGGTGATAATGACAAGCTACAGCAATTTATTTCATGCCTCTTAGCTGGCAATCAGTAGCTAGCTGCAAACCAACCATACTGAACAAACTGGTTAATGCTGTATGTGAGAAACCATAGCCTTCGCAATAAAGAACTAAGTCAATACTTCCTTTAGATTCGTGGAAAGAACTCTTAAATGTGAGACCAAGAGCATTATAAGTCTCTCCCCTTCTATTTAACAGCTATAAGGAAAAGGCACTTGGTATATTTATAAATGCAGGCAGACCTATATTCAAAGAAAACGAGCTACAATAAATAGCCTTTGAATGCTGTAGGTGAACATGAGTGCCACACTTCAAAACCATCTCAATCAATAATTTGTCTCAAAGAAGTATCGAGACTTATAAACTTGCCAAACAAATGTTTAAACTCAGAATTGATTCTTATTCCAATGCTGTTCTGGTTGGAATATTTTCTAAATTCTTTCAAAAGCAAATTTGCATGTCATCATCTCAGGAAGCTTATAGCCAAGGCATGCAATCATGCTGCTGCTTGCTAAGAATACGATTCAATCGGCTTAAAATCTTATGCAGATGGTAGCCAGTATTTCTCAGCTGGAACACAGGAGACTACTGGCAACCAGCTTCTCCTTCCCCTCAGCTACTCCTCTACACCTTCCTTTCCACACCTACAAAAAGAGGGTTTGCTCAGCTGGGTCTTTTGAATTTCCTATAAAGCTGGAGTCTAAAACCACAAAATGACTGGGAACATGGCAAAGGTCAGGGAAATCTGGCACAAGCCCAGTGCAAAGAACCAGAGCCCAGGCCGCCTTTAAATAGACCTGGGAGAAACGGATGCGCAGGGCAGGGAAACAGAAATGGCACTACATGCCACCACAAAGCAGCGATCCTGCCTCCCAGCTGCCCAAACTTGGAGAAAAATAGCTAATCACACAATGAGCATCGATTTGGTGTTTAAAAAAGGCTTGCACATCCAGTGTCTTATCTGAACATCGCAATACAAAATGATGATGGGGAAATCAAGGCTGGAGACTTAAAACGCTTTCCTCCTAAGGTGTCTTCCAAGACCAGGACACCAATCTGACTCTAAATCAGCGGTTCTCAACCTGTGGGTCGCGACCCCTTTGGGGGTTGAACCACCCTTTCACACGGGTCACCTAAGACCATTGATGGCGATTCATAACATAGCAAAATTACAGATATGAAGTAGCAACAAAAATAATTTTATGGTTAGGGGTCACCACAGCATGAGGAACTATATTACAGGGTGGCGGCATTAGGAAGGTTGAGAACCACTGCTTTAAATCCATGCCATTTTCGCCCTGGCCGGTTTGGCTCAGCGGTTAGAGCGTCGGCTGTGGTCCAGAGAGACCCGGGTTCAGTTCCTGCTAAGGGCATGTACCTCAGTTGCAGTTTGTCCCCGGCCCTGCTTGGGTTGTGCAGAAGGTGGCCACTCGATGTGTCCCTTTCACGTCAACGTTTCTCTCTCTTCCTCTCTCTCCCTCATCTGAACAAAAAATGGAAAAATGTCCTCAGGTGAGGATAAAAATAAATAAAGAAAATAAATAAAGAAAAATAAATAAATCCATGCATTTTCCTCCACATGAACAATTAACCTCTGGTGGGCCGCTGACCCTCTCCACTGAGAACATCCACATACTTCTTTGTACTTGGGGCTCACAAGTCCCCTTCAGTGCACCCCAGGTTAGGAACCTTTAGGAGCAGGAGACTTCTAAAACCCTTCCAGCACTCACACCCCACGGTACTAGGGGAGCTGGGCATCTGGAAGCTCTCCGTGGTTCACATAACCACTAGTATTTATCCCATCACCCTGACCCTGACTGTGCACAGAGGTTCACCTTTTACCATTCTATTTACACCAGGAAAAAAGTGGTCCAGGGCCAGAGGTGACTCACAAGGGCATCATTCTCTAAGGACAAAGGGACACACAGACGGACACACACACACACACACACACACACACACACCTCCTGCAATTCTGAAACTTATACTTACATTAGCATTTTATTTTCTTCACGCCATTCACACCACCCCCCTCCGCAAAAAAAACAGGTGATCTGGATGTTTCTCTCCTTCTGAAGTCCCTCAAGCTCTCATCCGGCTGAGTACTAGCGGTCTGAAGGAATACTTTATTTGGAATGCAGCCCTCAAACAAACCCACATAAACAGCACCCTTGCCCCGGCAGCAGCAAATGAAGAAATCCTGACATCTTTCCTTAAAACAGCAAGCCAAGCTGGCAAGATGCTGCCATTCCTTGCTCCACCTCCTCCCCTGGCACAATAGGCCATTTACAGAGGCTGAAAGCTCCCCCTTTGTCCTGCACTAGCCGGGCACAGCTCAGCCTGGGGAGGAACAAGAGAGCGGCAGCCAGACTGTGTGCTGTTCTTTCAATGTGCCACTCCAAACCGTCAGATCCATGCTCCTTAACCCTGGCTGGCAAACTACCTAAAGCTAGATTTGCTTAAGCCATCCCCTCTTGAACCAAAAGAGCAGTCGGGCTCTCCCTGGAGAGAGGGAGGTACAGACACCAAGATGCCAGAGGCTACCACTTAGAAAGGACAGCAGAGGCCACTGCCCACACCCCTTCTCATACAGGAATTCCTGACAGTTGCATACAGGTTGCTGCCCTTGGACCACCTCCTCTTTCCGAGCCTGAGAAGGGAAAAGACCACTTGGGTTACCCGGGATCATGCACAATGAGCCAGCCATTCACAGGGGACTGGTGATTCCAACCCACTGCCCTGGAGCTTTTCTCCCAAGTACAGAACCTTCAACCCACTGAACTTTCAGTACTGCGGTTCCATGAATCCCCAAGTCAATTTCCAAGATTTTTATAAGGAGAAACAAAGCAGAGATGTTCTGGTTTTAGAAACCTGGTTTATTAAACTATTTGAGAGTCAGTTGAATATTTCTACACTAACCCACTCCCTGCCTATCTCCCCTAAAGTTATCAGAGAAAGAGTAGACCACTACGCTCCAAAGGGCAACTAAGACTAGACCAATTTTTAAGCAGTAAGATTAGGGTCATACCTCACCCGTTCATATGGGTCACAGGCCACAAATAAATATAAGGTGTCCAACTTGAACAGATAAACTATTAGGGATTGGATAAAATGTCTACTTAAAATAGTTTCTGTACTTATTAAGCTATACATATATCTAATTCACATTACGATATAAATTACTTTAGACATATTTCCTTTTTCTTATTCACATTTCATTAATATTTTATTCAAATTCTTTGAACACACTTCTTCAAACAGGGTCTTAGGCATCCCTAAAGTCACTTTTGGAGGATGGACAGTTTTCTGTGGTTCATCTTCACATTTTTCTCTTCCATTTAAGTTGTCGAAGTCAAAGCATTTTTGAAGTCATATATGTGGCTACCACGTCACCGGAAAACAATTTGTACAGTGTTAAGACAGTTTTAAAAACTAAACCACACACTCTATTTCTTTTAAAAACTGATTTTTAAAACTTTTTACAATAATATCCAACACTTGCTTTTGCAATGACAGAACCCCAGGAATAATTACCCAGCTGGTGGTAAGTCTTTTGCCTTAGAAAAAGTAAAATTCGGTTAGCTGACCATTACGAGGACCCAAGACTAGGACTGCCACAGACACTTCCAGGTGCCTCCTCTACCTGATGCTGCTCAAAATAAAATGACCCAAAGATCACCCTAGAAAATGAAAGAGTTTGGGGGAGACCCTCACCTTCTATTAGGCATGTACATGGTTTAATATTCATATGAGGGGGGCAAACTGTGAAAAACTTGCAGACCCCATTCATGAGGCTTGGAATTAAAATGCATAATGCAAAGAGACACACAAAATAGTGACTACTGCCTGGCCGGTGTGGCTCACTGGTTGAGGGTTGACCCATGCACGAAGAGGTCAATGGTTCGATTCCCAGTCAGGACACATGCCCAGGTTGTGGGCCTGATCCCCAG